GTCTCTCATACTTCAAACATATTGTCAGGAGGGGACCAGTTGCTGGAGAAGGATATCATGTTTGGTAAGGTGGAGGGTCAGAAAAGGAGAGGAGGACCCCCAGCGAGATGGATTGGCCAAGTGGCAGCATCAATGGGCTCAAGCATAGCAACAATTGTGAGGTTGGCCCAGGACCGGACAGTGTTTTGTCCTGTTGTGCATAGGGTCACTATGAGTCGGTACCAGCTCGATGGCAGCTAACAACTCTGGGTGGTTGGGGTAAGAGAGGAATTACCACAAGAGTGACTGGCGACAAGGAATGGAGATGGGAAAGGTGAAGCCTGCATCCATTGTCACAAGTAGGAACTGGACTCATGCTGATCCCAGAAACAGTTAGTCTCCTAGAACTGTTTTAGCAGATGTACCACAGGGGAGACTTTAACAGACAGAAAGATATTCTCTCAGTCTTGTTGTTAAGACACCACAGAGTTGGTTTAGACTCAGTGACCCTGGATACACTTTCCAAGGAGCAACTCCAGTACTGATCAGTTATTAGAGTCTCAGAGGCCCTAAGTCCACAGTCAGGGTACCAGTCCTAGGGACTGGGAGGCTTTTTCTCTGTCAGGTCTGGGGGAAGGTCCTTGCCTCTTTAGAGGCTTCTGCTCCTGGGTGGTCTTCACGTGACTTGGTATCTGTTTGTTCCTTGCTCCTTTTGCTTACTGTTTCATCTCTTTTGTATCTCAAAAGAAACTTATATTTAAGCCACATCCTATACAAACCCACACCTCATTAACACAGACAACCCATTCCCAAGTGGAATTAAAACACACGCATAGAGGTTATTTTGGAGACACGATCCAATCCATAACACTGGGGTTTATACACTTGACCCTTTTAATTATGTCATTAGCGACAGTGCATCCAACCAATGATAAAAATGCTTTTAAGATTTTAGAAAGGATATAGCTAATCATTTAAATACCACACAGAGATGAGCTGAGAAGGCTAAAATGTCTTAACTACCTTTATTGGTAAATTTTATATTTACCCATGTACTGTATTTATTTTTCAAAGTCATGTTTCAAATACCTAGCATCAATCCCCTGAAATTTACAGACTGACAAAAGTATTTTTATATACATATTTGATTTTTATATTACATACCCAAAATGAATATTTATAAAGTTGAAGTTTGTTTCGCACAATCTATGGCCTTATTTTTTAAGACAAAATTCATAATATTAAGTTACAGACTATTCAAAACATAAACAGTTGTCAAGATGTGGTCTACGATACATTTCATAAAAGAACCTTCAGAAAATACAGATTATGTTATCAGTTATCTGTCTGGAAACAGACATCTTGTATTATACTGGCCTACTGTGTAAGGTGTTTAAGCACAGGAAAATTCATTGACAATTCCCCTTTATTTAGTGAGATAAACACCAACCTGTTTCACATTTACAACTACATATGTTTTTCACCATGTTCTGGATATGAAAAAAGGACACAGTGACAACATGTAAATGTAAAATCTTGGGAAAAGCTTAAGAGATACAGGGGAAACATGTCCTATGCATTGTGTGGAGTTTTATAATCAAGCATAAAGGCAAACGTGGTAAAAACAGGTGTGCTCCAGATGCAATTACAGGGGGCTCGAGTCAAGCCACCTCACACAACACGTCACAGAGAGCGCTCATCCAACACTATGTACAAAAATGTCCAAGTGGCAACCGAGCTCGCTACCTGCCAGTCGAGTGTGGACAAGGGTCTCAAACTAAGTCATGTCCACAACTGAGCCCAAGCACACCACACACCTCTCTCTCTGTGAGAAGGAAGCTTGAATGAGTGTTCAGGCAACTTTCTTGAAAAGTGCTCTGAGTTTTGAAACCAGGGCAATATATACGTTCTCCTGCTATGCGTACAGCTCACAGCATAGAGTGGAAAGGACACAGTTACTGAGAGGCAGAAAAGGTCCAACATAACCAGGGCTTAGCTGGGCAGGTGACACCAAGGAGACACTAAGTCCCCGGATCCCCAAAAGGCTGAGGGTGAGGTTAATCATGAAACGCAACAGAAGGACTCTAAGATTTCAGGGTTATCGTTCACATTTCATACTGTCCTTTTCTTTTGGTGAAAAAGATGTTCTGAAAGAACCAGCGGTTTAGAGTAAGCTTACTTCAAAACGCCAGCCATCCGGATACAAGGATTGCAATTTCTTCTAGACCTTCAACTGCTTAAGGGCAGAAGAGCTTGATGCCCGTGGCCTCCTGACCACCACCCAGAGCCTGAAGGACACTCGTTCCCAAGTCATGAGTTAAACTGCCCTTCTACAAAGAAGCACCCTCAGAGTATTATAAAACTAGTCAATGTTCTGTGTGTATCTTCCCAGAATTGTGTAAGATAAAGCCTAAGACTTGGAGGGGGTCCTGGTGTCCAAGGATGAGCACTCGACCCCAGGGTCGGTCTGAACCGCAAGGTAGGTGGTTCAAACTTACCAGGCACATGAGTTGGAACCACTTGACTGCACTTAACAATAACAACAAGGAATTCGAGTGAGGACAAAGAAAAATAAACTGAAATCAAGAAAGCATAGGCTACCACGCTCTGAGAACAGCTGAGGAACCCACAACACGTTCATTTGTTCAAGGAAAAGCAATTTCCCTCATCAAACAGGCAGAGGCAACCTGCTTCGTTTTTCAGGAAATTCTTTCCGAGATGACTTGATAGTGGTTCTCTTAGAAGTAACTGAAGGGCCAGGAAACAAATGTCTTCCAATTCTTTGAGAATTACAAAGAGACATCTGGCAGTTTGAACATTTTATTCATTCCTCTTCCCCAGTCAATCCCATTTTTCCTTATAAATGACAACTGACAAATCATATAAGCTGTAATCAATTTATCTAAAAACAAGGGAGGGTTTCCCAATGATGCCCCCCATCTAGGAAGGCAGCATGAGCCTCAGTACAGTAAGGAAGAGGTGGACACAGGTGTGCAGAGCGCGTTCCATCTGCTTACACACTTGTGCTTTCTTTCATGTTTTAGCAGCCGAGCGCTCCACCTGTGCATTAGTGCCCAGCCAGCCCCACAGGCCGGACACTGCCCAGAACCTCCGCTCATTAAGATAGCGCTCTCCTCCTCCCAACACTCTCTCACATTTGTCACATTAAGATAGCGCTCTCCTCCTCCCAACACTCTCTCACATTTGTCACATTGTTTCTACAGATCCTACTGCTGTTGTGAAAACCTTAAAGGACAATCAAGAAAAATGACGACGAGGAAACTCGGTGTGCAGTCACCAACTCCCAGGGGACAGGTCTTCCCCCTTCTCTAGTGCTCACCCCCCCCAAGCAATTCCACGCCCTCCACTCCCCACCTGCCCCGTCCACAGGTCTCATTTTTCTCGGTAGTAGAGCAAATAGTACTTCAGGGGGTCTGGGAGGGGGAGGCTTAGGACCTTCTCCCGGAGGAAGTTCACCGGGGGGTCTGGCTTCGGGACCCTGTCTTCTTCTTCCTGCTGCTCCTCTTCCCAGTCCTCACAGGGGTTGTCATCAGAGGGGTTGGAAATCCGGCTGGCAAAGACCTCTTTGTCCAAGAAGACGATTGTTTCCATCCGACGGCGGCGCACTCGCCTGCGTTTGAACCTGGGAGTGGTCTTCAGTCCCTTTCCGGATCTGCTTGCTGTTTCCTGATGGATGACCTTCTTGATCGTGCCGCGGATGGCAATGCGGGCCAGGTCCTGGAGGCTGCGGACCACCAGCAGTGCTGCAGGCACAAGGACAGATGTGACCTGAATGCACGTGAGGTGACATGAAACCTGTGCAGCCGACACACGATTCCGTTCTCAGAACACTGTACGCAAACCCCTTGTGTGTCTGACCTGCACCAGCCCCACCCCGAGTGTCTGACCTGCATCCACAGGGCCTTTTCAAGAGACATTTTCTAACACACATGCCCTTCACTTTGAAAAGGAAAGCAAGCGTGCTGTTAGCCTAACAAAGCAGGGGCAGAGATGGAAACTGAGGCTCACCCTAATCTCACTCCCCTCTGCAACATTTGTTCATCAATTGTAACTCATCCAGTAGGAACTGGGTAAATACACATCTCCTACATTATTCTCTAATACCCTCATATTATTTTACATACTAAACATTTTAAGTGGAGAAAAGCAGATTCCGGAACAATTCCTAATCACACCCAAGGACATCAACGCTCACAGCACAGAGGAGCCAGCCGCATGGGGGCGCTTCTTACGGGGAGAGTCAGCACAACACAGAACCTCCTTCCTCCAGGGCAAGTGCACAGAGAGCAGCCGCCACAGCCCCTGCAGACTCACCCACTGGTGCTGTGGGACACTCAGAGGGGCACTTTCAGCTGTCCCTGAGGACAAGGTGTCTTCTCCCTTCCTGACTTGGCTCCCTACTCACCATCAGCCATTTCCCCTCCCCACTCCCCACACTTTCTAGAAAGATGGCTTCCAGTCACTGCCGGACTCAGAGCTCTGCTCTCCAGCACTCTCCCCTCTACACCTGCCTGCTCAACCCTGAGTCTGACAAACACTCAGAACACTGCTCAAGTCTCAGAGCCCAAGCAGAAAAAGACAACGAGGTCAGGAGCTGACTTGCCATCTTCATGTCTCACCTGGGAGCTCCAGTAGCCTCCCTGGCCCCTCCTCCACCCTTTGAGACCACACAGCGCACAGCTGTCTGTCTACATTCACAGGACTTCCCTCTGCCCCACAGTCTACATTAGAAATGACTTTACTGTTCACCCCAGGAGTTCCCAAATTAAATCAAAACTCAAGAATCGCCTCCAAAGCTGCCTAGCGCTCTGTCCACAAATCCCCTCCCCTCTGGGTTATGTAGAGCCCCTCTCATCTCCCCCAGGTCCACTTGGCCTCACTGGGCCAGGGGTTTCCTTTCATCTCTCTCTGCAGGTGCCACAACTGTGGTCTATAGCCCAGGTCTCCACTAAGCAGACACCAAGGCAAGGGACACCTCCCTGCCTGAAAAGCAACTCTGGGAGGGATCCACCAGAATGTCACCAGTGGCTGTCTTAGATTGGCGGGACTACACACAGTTGGTTCTCTTACTTTGTTGATTTCTGTAATTCCCTAAAGGATCAATAACTACGATGAAAACACTATAGTTTTATTTTAACTAAAATCCATTGGAATGCTCATTGCTATGAATTTTTGCTTAAGCTATAAAACAAAACTCGGTGTCTGCTGGCAGTGAAGGAAATAAACGGGAAAAGTGAGCCACAGACCTCCCCCCCACCCCACCCCATCCCACACACCTTCAGACTAGTGGGACGTGGCCGTGGCAGCCTTCCACACACCCCTCCCTCCCTGTGGCAGGGCAAACTGCCTAACTCCCCACCACGAATTGGTCCCTGCACAGGCATCAACAGCATGGCCAAGACTCAGGGACCAAAATAAACTAAGACAGCTGAGGGCAAGAGTAGCATTCCTACCCGGCCTAAAATCCTCAGGAGGGGAGACACACTGGTTTGTACTGTTGTTGTTAAGGGCCATCTACTGCTGACACCTAACAACCCTGTGTAGGGTCTCCTAGGAGTGGCTCGTGGATTTGAACCACCAATCTTGAGGTTAGCAGTCCAGTGCTTACCCTACAGTACCAGCATTGCTGTTGTTGTGTTGCTAAGTGCCTTTGAGTCATTTCCGAGGTGTTTTTCAATCTTTGTGGAGCAGAAAATCGCATCTTTCTCAAACCAGGGACCTTGTGGTTCACTGTCTGGTACTTACCATATGGGAACTCTCCACAGAGCCAGTATTATCGACTTTGCTCCCTCCCCTCCCAATCCTCCTGAGATTAAGCAGAACCAGAGGAGCACTCAGTACCCAACTCTGTACTTACGTAACTGGACAAGGCGTGCTTTTCCTGACTCGGAGTGGCAGGGCTGGATTAGAGGAGCAAAAGAAACAGCCAGAATCTTCTTGGTTTCCCAAGCGGAAGGACCAGTCCGCGTTATCTTAGTCAACTATCCCAAAGACAAAAATGAAGATATTCAAAGGCTCTGGGTATTAGATAGCTTCTACTTAAAACTGATCATTCTTACTCGTGTAGAACCTTAAAAACCAATGACAATGACGAATGAAACACCAGTGCAGACATGCTCACCCCAACACCGCCACACCTCCAGTCCTAGCACGGTCACTAGAGACACATGCAGGAGAGAGCAAATGAGAGGAGAAAAGATGAAGCCATCAGGAGAGCTGGACTCGCCGAGAAAGTCAACGTCAGGAGAAAGGTGAGCGCAGACAATGTCACGGGACAGCAATTCCACCCAACTGAAAGCAGGAACCCATCAATTCTGGGCTGGGTTTTGTTTTGAGGTTTTGGGGTTTTTTTTGTTTTTTGTTTTTTTGGAGAGGGCTATAAAAAACATTCTTGAAACAGCTGGAGCTTCTTGGCCATGTTCCATACAGAAAGCTTTCTAAGATCCCTCAGGGTCACCGCCCACTCCTGGGGGTGCACTGTCTCCAGGGTGTAGCAGGCTCCCTGCGATACCCACACCAACGAGCTGCAGCACTGACTCTCAAGTGAGCCGAGCACATGGTCCTGTGACCCATGAAGCAGCCAAGTCCAGCAGATAACCCTAATAACCCTAACCCTAACCACCCTAACCCTAACCCCTAACTCCTAACCCTAACCACCCTAACCCTAACAACCCTAACCACTAACCCTAACTCCTAACCCTAACCCCTAACCCTAACCCCTAACCCTAACTCCTAACCCTAACCACTAACCCTAACTCCTAACCCTAACCACCCTAACCCTAACAACCCTAACCACTAACCCTAACTCCTAACCCTAACCCCTAACTCTAACTCCTAACCCTAACCACTAACCCTAACTCCTAACCCTAACCCTAACTCCTAACCCTAACCCCTAACCCTAACTCCTAACCCTAACCCCTAACCCTAACCACTAACCCTAACCCTAACTCCTAACCCTAAACCCTAACCACCCTAACCCTAACTCCTAACCCCTAACCCTACTAGACCAGTACCTGCCAATCATGTGGTCCTGTGACCTGTGAAGCAGCCAGGTCCCAGCAGACCCCTCTGCTATTTTGGGAAAGGTCTGTCAGGCCAGAGTGCATGCTAGTTTGGCCTAAAAACAGCTATGTTAACAAATCCTCTAAAAACTAAGATTCCACATACTGAATATTAAAACTCAAGACTCAAGTAAAGTTGTCATGTTGTTGTCAAGTGTCATTGAGTTGGTGCCAACTCACAGTGACCCTGGATGTATGGGTTTCTGAGGAGCAGCTGCTGAGTCTGTACCGCCAATCTTGTGACTAGCAGTCCAGTAGCCACACACTAGATAAACATTATGTACCTGGGTATCAGAAAAACATTGTTAAATGGCTAATTTTTTCATTAAAATGAGCACCAAACAGTGATGTGTGAAAACTTAAAGAAAAAAAATTCCATTGTTTCTGGATAAGCAGAAGAAATATTCTAAAGATCTGAAATCCTCAAATTAATCTAGATGTAACACAATTCCAATAAAAAATGCAACATATTTTTGCAATGCACACAAAGACTTCAAATATCTTTTCTTTAAATAAAGACATCTCTAAACAGTGTTCTGAGGAGCTGGTGTGGTACTGTAGGGTCAGCACTAGACTGCAAACTATAAGGTCGGTGGTTCAAATCCAATAGTCGCTCCTTGGAAACCCTACATAGGGTCACTCTACATCAGAATCAACTAAATGGCACTTAACAACAACAAAATAAAGTTCTAAAAACAAAGATCAATGATGAAGGCTGTATCCCATTATGTGAATTCATGGTGCATTTTATCTTGTAAAAAACATAGTGTGTTCATGCACACATGCTTGCACATGTGTGTAGGTCTACGTGAGTGTGTGTGCTCTATGTAGGGGGTGGGTGAGTGTGAGGTGTGCATGTGGTATGCCTGTGGGCGTGTATGCAGGTGTCTGTGGTATGTGTTCAGTGGGTTGTGTGTGGTGTGGTATATATAGGGGTTGTGTGTGTACTTCCTGACTCCACTGATTCACTGAAAAAGCTTTAAAAAAAACTAAAAAGAGAAAGACTACCCCAGCAACAGTAAGTGCCTCCTCTTAAAGCCTATTATGGTCTGTAACAACCAATCCCTATTGTAACGGAACAGGTTTCCTCAGATAAATAGTTAATTCAAGGTAGAAAGCAACAAGGCTACCAAAGACACAGCTCAAGGTCCCTCCTAAAGAGGCTCCCACCAGCCAAACATAAAACCAATCCAGCTCAGGGATGTTGAAATCATGACGTCATAGTGACAGTAAAACAGAGACAACACTTGAGGCTGAGAGCTGACAGCCAAGTGAAGGGCACATGGCTTCTGCCTCTTCTGTGCAGGCTCTGCAGTAACAGAGTCACCTGATGACACCACAAGATCACCGTGTTCTGGGGTCTCCCAGGCATGCAACACCACGGCGTGGAAGGACATCTCCCCCGTAAAAAGGGTTCTTAAGAAAATAAATCAATACAACTTAGATATAAAAGAATCTCTGGGTCCCACTTCCATCTGGGCAGGAAACAAAGACAAATGACCCACTTTTCTTTGACAAATAAATTACAAAGGAATAGTGATAAAGAAAAAAGGAAAGGGAACCTATAACTTAAAAATTATGAGCTAATCCAGAGAATTATGCCAGTTGAGTATGTAACAATAAGGAACAGGTCATTCATTTTTTAGGGATGATAATGGTTTTCTGTGATGATATAAAAAACCAGATCCCTTATCTTTTACAGATACATAATAAAATATTTATGGATGAGAATTGTTAACACTAGGTGAATTTACTGAAGTCTAACAGCAAATACGCAATGAAAAAGCACACAGACCCTAGCGTCCTAAGCTGCTGAAAGCATATGACTTAAATTTGTGATCTCTTTTAAGTAAACATTGTTGTTGTTAAGTGCTGTCAAACCAGTTCCGACTCATAGCGAGTGACCCTGTATAGTGGGGTGGGGAATCTTTTTTCTGCCAAAATAGATAACATCATTATCTGTCAAAATTTGTATCAAAATTATCAACTTAAAATTTAGTCTGCTACATTTGGTCAAACATTTAATTAACTCACAGGGTCGCTTTGGGTAGGAATCGACTCGATGGCACTTAACAACAACAACATGATGGCAACTCACAAGCCACCACAGTACAACAAAGTGACAGACGAGTGGTGGAAGCAGCAGTCAAGAAATCAAACGACGTATTTGCAAATCTGCTGCACGAGACCTTTTTAAAGTGTTGAAGCGCAAAGATGTCAGCTTGAGGACTAGGGTGCGCCTGACCCAGGCCATGGGATTTTCAATAACCTCATATGCATGCGAAAGCCAGACAGTAAATATGGAAGATCGTAGAAGAATCAATGCATTTGAGTTATGGTGTTGGAGGAGAATATTCAAAGTACCCTGGACTGCCAGAAGAACAAACAGATCTGTGCTGGAAGAAGTGCAGCCAGAGTGCTCCTTGGAGGCCAGGATGGCCAAGTCGCTGGAGAAGGATATTATATTTGGTAGGGTGGAGGATCAGAGAAAAAGAGGAAGACCCTCACCCTCAGTGAGATGGGATTGGCAAAGTGGCAGCATCAATGGGCTCAAGCGTGGCAACATTTGTGAGGTTGGCCCAGGACCAGGCAGTGTTTCGTTCTATTGTGCATAGGGTCGCTATGTGTCAGTACCGACAATGTGATGGCTGTGGAATAAAGCACTGGACTGCCGAGTTGGTCTGGACCAGCCACTCCTTGGGAACCCTACACAGGGTCATTACGAGTCGGAACAGACGTGACGGCACTTAACAACAACAACAATGTGATGGCGGGAACTGAAGTTGCTTGCCTTGGCAGAGCCAAACCAACTGATTTCACAGGCCTCACGCAGTCCTCAGGCCAGACACTCCCTGCTGCTGCTATACAGGGATTTCCAGGAGCAGCCAGTGGTTCTGAACCACCAACCCTGACATTAGCAGTCCAGTGCTCTATCCCACAATGCCACACCAGAACTCCAAGTAAATGCTGTACTTTATAAAGTCCTACGTACAACAGCATTTTTTGAAAAAGAAGGGATAGAAATTGACCAAAAAGTGCTGGAAGAATTATACATTCACGGCAGTTATGGCAGTGATTATGAACTGCCTTTCTTAATGTTTTCAGTTTCTACATTTTCTAAAATGGCTATTTTAAAACAAAGTTAATGAAGCACTAACATTGACAAAGTCATGTGAACAGCAGCACCATGCTTGGAAAAGCGGAAGGTCAGCAGAAAAGAAGCAGCAGCTCCCCAGTGAGGTGGAATGAGTGACAGCAACAATGGGCTCAAGCGGAAGTGTGAGGGTGGCCCAGGACCAGGCAGTGTTCCATTCTGCTGAGCAAACGGTCACCAGGAATTGGAGCCAACCCAATGACACTCTAACAACAAATTTACAAAATTGCACAATCTCTTAATTTCTATTCATTTCTGTGTCTCCAACCTCTTGGTGTCTGTCCCACATTTGTGTCTATTAATTAAATGATTTATTGTAACCTATTTTCCCAAGGAAATAAGAGCATCTAAAACACACACAAATATGCAAGATCAAACGGCAAGCTTGGAGGAGATTCCTACAAGATACTCGTGAAGATATCAAACAGTTTCAGCACCAGCTCCTACTGGCTGGGATAGAGGAAAAAGAAGTAGGGAGTAGGAGAAAGGGAGAGGGGCAAGGAAAGAGAAGGCGGACAGAGAGAAGGCCCAGGGCCCAGGCCCTGTACCCAGCAGCAGGCACCTGGTCCCACATGCGCTACCTGTCTGACCTGTGTGGGCCCTTACCGGTCCCTGCTCCGGCTTCTTATTTGTGAAATGGAGGGGCTGCTGCAGGGCTTCCGAGGGAAAATGTACGTAAAATGCTTAGAACCAACCCTGTCAGCCCATGTCCCCACATCAGTGAGGGTGGGGCTCTAACCTTCTCTTCCAGTGGCATGACCAAGATGCCCCCAACTTTGAGCAGATTCTTCATGTAGTCTTCATGCTCCTTCTGAACTCCAGCCCCACAGTACACGCGGTCATACTGCGTACAATCTGGAGAAATCTCCAGGCAATTGCCAGTAACAAAGGAAGGTTCACAGAATTCAAACCTGAGAGCAAAAAAATGTTTTCTGTAACTACAGTATCACCTTGCAACATATCTATGAGGAGTCCAGCTGCTGCAGTGGTTTAAGCACTGGGCTGCTAACCGAAAGGTCAGTAGATGGAATCCACCGGGTGCTCTGTGGGAAAGAGGTGTGGCCATCTGCTTACGGGGGGGCTTCTACATTCTGTTTATGGGGTCACTATGACTCACACTGGACTCAATGGCCTGGAGTTAATGTGTCTGTAGAGGAGAGTCCTCCTGTCTACAGGCTTTAATGGTAAAACCCCACCGCAGCATAAGCTCCTGAATCCAACTGAAAACAGTACACCCAAAAAGAGTGACCCTGTGCCAACCAATCAAATCAAGCCCACGTAGGAGAGGTCTGCTGTTGCTGTCCGCCTTCAAGACAGTGCTGACTCAAAACCACCCGTGGAGGGTTTCTGCGGCTCTAATTCTTTCTGTGGGAGCAGAAAGCCTCATCGTTCTCCCAAGGGCAGCTGGTAGTTTGAATGGCCGACCTTTCCGTTAGAAGCCCAACCACTAACACACAGCGCCACCAGGGCTCCCTGTCTTATGTAAATAGAACCCTAGACATTTTTTTCTTTAAAGATTATAAAAGTGAATATATAAGCACAATCCAAATTTAAAACAATCTCCACTTATAGCTATCTTAATCAAGAACTGCTACACAATGAAATAAGGGAAACATACGTTTAGTATTTCTAAAAATTGTCATTTGTACAGAATTTTAATGACTCATTTGGAAATGGCAAGTGCTAGTCATATACATTATTTCTAGAGAAATCTACCACTCGTCTGTCAGTTTGTCCTACTGTAGTGGTCACATTTCCAAGGACCAATCCAACTTTCACATTCCAATCACCAGTAATGATCAACGCATCCTGAATGCAAGTTTGATCAATTTCAGACTGAAGAAGTTCCTAGAAGTCTTCAATTTCATCATTGTTTCTTGCATGTTGCTGTGATGATGGAAGCTAGGCCATCGGTATTTTAAATACCAGCAAGGTGACTCATAGTGGGTAGGTTTCAGCTGAGCTTCCAGATGAAATCAGACTAGAAAAAAAGGAGCGGGAGACCACTTCTCAATGGTTAGTCACTGAAAAGTTTGTGAATAGCCGCAGAGCATTGTCATCTACACAGCAAGAAGATGAGGAGTCCCTCAAATTAGAACTGGAAGGCACTCAGAATACGACTGCTCACACAGCAGAGTTGACCATGATGCTCTGAATGGAGTGAAACTTTTATGGTCATTACTTGCTGATGAGGCACAACTCAAAATGAAAAACAGCTACAAATACCCATTAATAACTGGAACATGGAAAGGAGGAAGTGTGAATCTAGGAAAATTGGAAGGCCTCAAAAATTAATTGGAACCCATAAAGATCGATAATCCTACGTATCAGTAGCTAAAACAGACTGACCAATTTGAATCTCGTAATTATATGGTTTACTTTGCCAGGAATGACAAAGTGAAGGGGAACAGCATCACATTCATCATCAAAAAGAACATTTCAAGATCTATCTTGAAGTACCATGCTGTCTGTGATAGGATAATCTCCATACGCCTTCAAGAAAACAGTTAATATAACAATTGCTTAAATTTATGCACCAACGACTAAAGCCAATGATGATAAAATGGAAGAATTCTACCAACTTCTTCAGTCTGAAATGAATCAAATGTAATCAAGACATATTGATAATTACTGCTGATTGAAACACGAAGGTTGGAAACCATTAAAGATCAGTCGTTGGAAAACGGCCTGGTGACAGATATGATGTTGGATATCTCATGATAAAACTTTTGCAAGACCAATGACATCTTCCTTGAAAATACCTTTCTTAAACAACATAAAAGATGGACCTCACCAGTTAGAATACACAGAAATCAAACTGACTACATCCATGGAACCCTGCATAGGGTTTCCAAGGAGCAGCTGGTGAGATTGAACCGTAGACCTTGAGATCCAAACTGACTTTGCAGCACAGCACATTAACCCACAGGGCCACACCAGGATATTGCCCATACAATTTTTCGATATTGCAACCCAAGGGTTTTGACTTTTATCTTCTGTTCTTTTCGTTTGAGAAAAGCTTAGTGTGACCTTCCCTTTTAGTTTTCTAACTACAGGTCTCTGCACATTTCATTATAAGATCTGACTTTGTCTTCTCAAGCTGTCCTGTGAAATTTTCCGTTTGTCACTTCTATCGATCACTTTAGCTTCTCTACGGCTCAAGAGCAAGTTTAGAGTCGCTTCTGACATCTACTTTGGTCTGTTGTTTTTCCTGTCATTTTAATGTACTTTTGCTTCCTTCATGTATGATGTCCTTGATGTCATCCCATAACTCTTCAGGTCTTTAGTCCTTAATATCTAATGCATCAAATCTGTTCTTGAGATGGTCTCTAAATTCACGTGGGATATACTCAAGGTTGGAGTCCTGGTGTGACACTGTAGAATAAGCACTGGACCACAAGGTCAGCGGTTCAAGCTCAACAGCCATGCCTCAGAAACCTTACAGTGAGTCACTAGGAGTCAGAACTGAGTCAACTGCAGTTAATAACAACACATTCAAGGTCATACTTTGGCTCTTGTAGTCTTCTTTCAGTTTTCTTCAGCTTCATTCTGAACCTGCTTATGAGCAATTGATGATCTGTTCCACAGCAGGTCCCTGGCCTGGTTTTAGCTGATACTAAACTTTTCCACCATCTTGTCACACAAATCTAGTCAGTTTAATTTCTGTATAGTCCATCTGCTGAGGTCCATGTGTATAAGCATCTTTATATCACAAGATCTCCAGCATCATGTCTATTACCAAGGTCACATTTCCAAGTACCAATCCAACTTTCACATTCCAATCACCAGTAATGATCAACGCATCCTGAATACAAGTTTGGTCAATTTCAGCCTGAAGAAGTTCGTAGAATTCTTCAGTTTCATCATCACTGGCTTTAGTGGCTGGTGTGTAAATTTGAATAATTGGTCTTCCTTGTAGATGTATGGATATTATCCAATCACTGACAGCGTTATACTTCATCACAGATCTGGAAAAGTTTCTTCTTGATGATGAATGTGATGCTATTCCTCTTCAATTTGTCGTTCCTAGCATAGTAAGCCATGTGATTGTCAGATTCAAAATGCCCAATACCCGTCCTTTTCAGCTCACTAATGCCTAGGATATTCATTTTTGAGAACTTTCCATCTTCATAGATTCATACTTCACACATTTTACATTCTGATCAGAAATGGACTTTTACAGTTGTTTCTTGTCATTTTGAATTGTGCCACATCAGCAAATGAAGGATCCGAAAGCTTAACTCCATCCACACCATTAAAGTCAATTCTACTTTGAGGAGAAAGTTCTCCCCCAGTCATATTTTGAGTGCCTTCCAACCTGATCTGAGGGGCCACCTTCTAGCCCTCTGACAATGTTCTGCTGCTATTTGTAACGTTTCCAGTGACTAACCATTCAAAAGTAATCTGCCTCCCCTTCTTACGTCTTAGTCTGAAAGCTCAGGTGAAACCGGTCAACCATGGGTGACCTGCTAGTATTAAAATACCGGTGGTACAGCATCACAACACACAAGCAATCACTAGGACACACAGACAGATGAGTGGTAGTAGAAACTACTAGGCAATAGGAATCTGTCTATATTGAAAACATGCAAATTGAAATTTTTGTTTTCTTCTATTATTATATTGGTGAAAATTGTTACCATAGTTATATTAAAACCTAAAGCCCTTAAAAACTCAGAACATCAAAAAAATAATAATAATTAGATGAGGCATTTAAACTCATGGGCACTGTACACACATGGCTGGTTTTGCCTGGCCTCTTACTTGTCAAAGCTGTCGCTGGTCTTGATGAAGAAGTCTAGCTTCTGCCTTGCATACTCAATCACATCGGAGTGCAGTTCCACCCCGTGGTTGACACCAAAGGGCCCTAAAGTTTGCAAACAGGAACATTTAGGGCTAGGACAGGGCTCTTCTGTTCATTAGTAACAAAGCACCAACTTGGTACATAAAATGACATAAATTTGTATAGTCTGTAACACAGTCTCCCCGCTCCCACACCACGAAGTCATCTTTCTACCATACTGTGAAGCAGGAACACTGCTTTCAAACTTTTAAGGGCCCATACAAACTTGAAAACTTTCAATGGGAAAAAAGTCAAGCTCTGAAAACAGGTGTGTGGACTCTTACTAATCCGTTGCATAAACATGTCTTTTGCAAATAAAGACTGGAATGTGGGCTAGCGAGGAGGAGACCTGAAACACCCTTGGGGGCGTTCAAGAGGGTACCTGGTCCAGAGGGCGCTCCCAGGGAGGGGTACAGAAACTCAGCAGCTCTAATGCTTGTATACTCTAAACCTCCAAGTCTGTTATAGGTCTGTTTCGTTTTAAAACCAGCGGTAAATGAAGGGACCTTCAGTGAGGTGCTTGCCCACAGTCCAGCAGGTATATTGGCAAATGGGCCACCCTGGCACAGTGCAGGGCCTCTGCAGAGATCTAATCGCTTCTTTGATAGGCAGCCCGCCACCTGCGCCCTCTCTTACCCTGTCTCCCACAACTCTGGCCCGGGGTCCCTGTGACAAGACTAAGGACATCTGCTCACTGTTTTCACTCATGGACCTTCCCCTTTATAATCACACACTTACTAAGTACTCTAGCCAGTAACAGTCACACTAAGATAACGGAATGTGCTTCCTGGTCCTTAGAAATTTAAAACCAAACGGAGGAATGACCCATGTGCCCACCTGTACCCAACAAAAAGACTGTGAGCAGGCATGGGAACAGAGCAAGTGTTGTGGACCCCAAACAAGGGGGCTCCTCATGGTTGGAGGAGCCTCTGAGGCAGAGACCCCAGATACACCTCGGTTACCAGCAGCAGGCCAGCTCCTCCTCTGTTGATGAGGAACCGCAGGAAGGACAGAGGCATTCCCAGATAAATTTGAGATCAGGCTAGAGGGCATGGAGTGAGAGGCAGAATGTCTCTGGGAGATGCTGGGCAGGGACAGCCCCTGGTCATCTCAACCGGCAGACGCAGCCTCTCGAACCCTCTAGGCGGCACACCACAAAAGCAAGGCCCCACGCTGCAGAAGACACGTCTGTTTCTCCCCCTAGCTCATAAAGGAACAATCTCACATTTCAGCTCCTTCTTAATGACTTCTAGGGACGCTCAGTGCAACAGGCATTCCACTTATTTTCTGTAGCATTTACACTCTAATCTAACCACCCGCCTCAAACACCAGCCCAAAGGGGTGAATCACAGTTCCATCCCTCCAGCATGGAAACAGAGCAAGCACTGTGCTCTCAAGGGCTCCTGGTGGTACCGCGGAGTAAGCACTGGACTGCTACCTTGACTCAAACCCAACAGTTGGTCTAAGGGAGAAAGATGAGACAGCCTGCTCCAGTAAAGATTTACAGTCTCGGACCCATCCCACTGGGCCACTGAATCCAAAGTGACTTGACAGCAATGGTGGGGGTGGGGTGCTTTCCTCACAATGTATGATTCTTTAATAAGGCCAGAAAGCATGCGGCTGCAAACAGCACACACACACTCCATAGCCCAGAGCCAAATGGTCAGTCTCAAAAGAGACCAACAATGTCACTCCATACACAAAATATCCATTGCTCCTGTTGAAGTGACGACAGCTAATGCACGCTGACACGGCTCGGAAGTCACTAGACCTTGACATCTTCAATATTCACAACGTTTACACTCATTTGTTACAAGGTCAAGACACGTGGGGCAAAAGGATTTCAGTCATTCTTGACACTTCTTTCTTTCACAACCACATCCAGTGCATCCACAGATCCTGTCATTTCCAACATCAAACAATGCACAGACCTTATGAACATCTGTATGGCAACAAACTGGATGACCCAGATGAAATGGACAAATCCTTAGACGCACACAACCTGCCCAAACTAACTCAAAAGGAAACAGAAGGTCTTAAACATGGGTCCTAAATCACTGATCAAAAACTTCCCAACAAAAATGAGTTCTGGACCAAATGGCTTGATTGGTGAATTCTACCAAACATTTAGAGAAGAATTGAGACCAATACTGCTTAACCTCTTCTAAAAAGTACAACAGGGAGGAATATTCCCTGATTCATTCTATGACGCAAACTCAATCCTGATACCAAAAAAGCAGACAAAAACACAAGGAAAGGAAATTACAGGCCAATATATTTTATGAATACAGATGTAAAAATCCTCAACAAAATACCACTGAACAGATTCCAACAGCGTATTTAAAAAGTCACACACCATGACTAAAACCAAACCCAGTGACAGAGTAGAATAGCTCTATAGGGTATTCGATGTCCTGGTAGTGGTATGCCCTTGAGTTGGGTCAGACTCACAGCTACCCTGTATAGGGTGTCCAAGAGTGGCTGGTGCTTGTGGTTCAAATCGACCTTATTTTCAAGAGTTTATGCTACAGTGCTCCACCAGGACTTCCAGGCAGAGCAATGAACAAAACAACTGGAGAAGAAGTAAAGGGCTCTCTGCTCACAGGTACCCTGGAGATAGCTATACACAGACAGGAGTCCTGGGATGGCACTGTAGGGTCAAGACTGTGAGTCACAGGAATCAAACACACCAGGAGCTACTCAGAAACCCTACACAGGGTTGCTATGAGTTGGAACCAACTTGAGGGCACTTGACAACAGCAAAGTAGGTAGAAAATCCCACAAGAAAACGTCTAAAGGTAATAAAGGAGCTCAGCAAAGCTGCAGGGGATAAGGTCAACAAACAAAAATCATTTGGGTTTCTATACACCAGCAATGAGAAATTGGAAATGAAAATTAGGGGGGAAATTCCATTTACAACAGCATCTAAGAAAATAAAATACCTAGGAATAAATCTAGCCAAAGAGGTGAAGGACTTACACAATTAAAACTGTAAGGGACTGTTGACAAACGCTAAAGAAGATTGAAATAAATGGAAAGATGCTCTGCATTCATGATTGGAAAACTTAATATTGCTAAGATGTCAATCCTATCAAAAGCAATGCATAGATTCAATGCAATCCTAATAAAAATTCCAACAGCCTTCTTTACAGAAGTGGAAAACCCAATCCTCAACAAGAAACCATGAATAGTGAAAGCAATGTTGAAAGAGAAATACAAAATAGAAGGATTCACACTTCCTGATTTTAAAACATACCATACAAGCTACAGTAATCAAAACACCTGGTACTGGTACAAAAGACACACAGCCCAATGGAACTGAGTTGATCATAGAGAAACAAGCTCACACATCTGTGGTCAACAGTTCTAAATCCATTCAACGCAGAAGGAAGAGTCTTTCAATAAACAGTGCTACAGCCTTGCTACATGCAGACAAATGAAACTAGATCCATCTCACACATTAAAAAAAAAAAAAGTCAGAAAGCGGATTAAAGACCTAAATGTGCAAATTAAAACCATAAAATTCTTAGAACAAGCAGGGAGGCAATGCTAACAGGCCTTGCTTTCAACACCAATTATCCAATATAATAATAAAAGTACAAACATGAATAAATAAACGGGATCTCGTAAAAACTGAAACTTTTTGTTCATCAAAAGGCTTTGTCAAGTGAGACCTGGGTATTCCTGGGCCCATGGACAAGAACATAGCCATAGGGGGCTATAGCTGAGAGTGAAACATCCAGCTGATATGAAGTGAGGGAAGATGTACAAGAACACCCAAAACTGAAGACAGTACTCATTCAACCTAGCTTCGATGGCTTGCTGATCAGGACTCGGCTAGAGGACTATTAAAAAAAAAAAAAAATTTTTTTTTTTTTTTTTTTGATAAAGGCAACAAGTGTAAATTGCTACAATTTGATGAACTTGACCTATACTTTAGGGTGTAGTAGTTCAGGAACCAACTGAGAGGGAAGGAGTCTTCACATCAAGTATCAATCCTATCCCCTCTATATACATGATTGATAGGGACAGTCAACTTAGACACTGGTTAACTAAAATGGAGGTAGGGGCTATAAAGGTATGAAGTAACTGGCTTACAAGTTTTCATGAGGGAGTTTAGTATTAAAGTGTGCGGGGGAAGGTAGAATCCCTACTGAATAGTTTCCATCTTGTCTAGATGGGTGTGGTGAAAAGAGATGGGGATAAGATTTAAAAAAAAAAAAAGCTTATGCTAGGGTATCTAAGAAACAACTATTGTTCTCTCCCCATCCACAGCAATGAAGTGTGAAGACAATCAAAGAGACAAGGAAGGAATTAGTCCAAAGAACTAATGGGCCACCGTACCCCAGCCTCTCCAATCCTGAAACTAGAAGGACTAGGTGGTACCCAGCTACTACTGCTGACTGGTCTGAAAGGATTCACAATAGGAGGTCTTGGATAGAGTGAAAGGATAATTTATAACAAAACTCAAAATAATATAGACCGCATTTACTGGATAGAATCAGATGGAACCCCTAGACTACAGTCCTTAGTCATCCTTCAAGTCTGAAAGCAAACTCACCCCTGTGGCTCAAATGTCAGCCAAACAAGAGACAGGCTTAAAAGGTGAACAGTAATACCAAGGAGGTATACACTTCCTAGACAAAGGGCAGCATTTGCTCCGGGAAACTGCTCAGAAGGCAGAAAGGGAGAGGGAAGAAAGATGAATGCAAACAAAAGGCACAGGGTAGAAGCGGGAAGAGTGAGGTTGCATGATGGGAGTCACTATCAGTGTCACGAAACAAACTGTGTATGAATTAGTGAATGGAAAAAAAACAACTTGTCCTGTACATATCCACCCAAATCACAATAAAAGGTTCATACAATAACTAAAACAAACAAACAAACAAGGCTTGGCCAAAAAAGTGAAGCCAAGCTTGTGACTCAGAAGCCCTCTTCAAAATTATATATTAGACAAGAATCTAGGAACCACCTTAACAATAAAACATTTCAATAACCCAATCCTAAAATAGGCAAAGGATCAAAGAGGATATTCAAAAGGTCACCAACAGCATCGTTAGCCATCAGAGGGCTGCAAATCAAAGCCACAGTGAGATACCACTTCATTGTCACCAGGTGGCTAACACTTTTAAAAAAGGAGAAAGAGAAGAGTAAGTGCTTACAAGGATGCAGAGAAATTCAAACCGTACCCACTGGTGGTAGCAATGCCATTACGGAAGGTCATATGGCAGTTCCATAAAACCCTAACAATCGAATACCATATGACCCAGCAGTTCCACTTCTAGGTGTACGCCCCAGAAGACTTGAAATCAGAGACTCAGACACTTGCTCACCAACATCCACTGCAGCTCACAACAGTGCATAAATAGTTGGACACCTGTAAAAAGCTAAATTGGCTAAAGTTGCATGATACACTTATTTACAACAGAAAGAGTAGCTGTTGAGGCTGGTTATGTACAACCAAAAAATCTTAATGGGATTTGGATTCTCCGTTTAGAGCCTTGGGGTCATGGTTTAATGAGCCTAGTAACATGTTTAGTGTGTCTGTCTGTCTGTCTCCTCATTCACTCCTTAGTGCTTGGGGCCTTAAAAAAGCTTGCCAGCAGTCATCCAAAGCACAGCAGTTGGAACAACCCTGAAATGAGGAGCGTCAAGAACAGGAGGAGACTATGAAATGTGTAGCTAACTGCCTCCAGGAACACCTGCCTCCTTTGTCATGAGACCAAAAGGACTGGATGGTCCCCGACAATCACTAATCAAAGATTCATCAAAATTGATGAACTCTGGAAACTATTTCCCTGAGATAATCTCTAAACCTTAAAATATCCCCTAAAATCGCCTTTAAAAATCAAACAGTAGTTTAGCTTAATAAAAAAGAAAATGCCTGCCGTAAGCATTACATCCTTTTAAGAACTATATACGGGGGATCAAAGTTACAACAACAACTGGAAAGATTCAGTGGGAACCTTAGAGGTGGTGAGTTGATGTGAATGAGGGAGGAAGAGCCCAGAAAAGAAGGGTGAAAAAGTTGACCCGACTCAACAATATAATCAGAACCACTGAACTGCTCATGTAGAAACTGTTGAATTGGCTGGTGTATGTTTTACTGAGAATATTCTCAACAAAAAAAATTTTTTTTTAAAATTCTGCATACACAGGCCCTGGAGACTTTTTACCAGTGGCATGTCACATCTGTGGTGTGGTCCCTGGGCTGCCTCTTCTTTAGTGGAAGCTGGCAGGAGGCAGGTCAGCACCAGTGAGCCCCTCCCAATCGAAGCCCCTCCCTCCAAGTGGGAACCTGCTAGATGTTTAGTACCTGACATGGCTTTTACTGTGACGAAAAATCACCTTATCCCCACAGACAAGGCCACAGCCAATGTCGGAAAACAGGTGAAAATGGCTGCAGGTTAAATAACCTTTGAAACCCCTTTCACCCTTGAACTCTCGTTTAAAAATATGTCACAGAGTTCCAACTCTATTTTAATATTAAAACAAAAACTGCTTGGGAGAACTTTGAGCCCCATCGCCCTTGGAGAGGAGAGGGAGTGAGGGGGCAGGCCCAGGGAGGCCAGGTCCCATGGCTCTCCTGGGCCTGTCACCCCCAGGAACTGCCTTAGGGGTGCAGATGGCAGGAGACAGGATGAGTCTGGGAGGAGAGGGATCCCTCTAGCAAACATGCATGTGGCCTTTCTCACCACCCCTCCACCCACCCCCTGGTGCCACGGGCGACACCAGCCTTCTCAAATCTGGGTGGACAGGATGCTTCACAGCAGCCCCCAAGTCCTCCTCGAGATGTACCTAGAATGAGGCCGACCATGGAGCTGAGGTAGCCAGTACCACTGCCCAGGTTCAGGAAGGAGAGTCCAGGCTGCAGGTCTAGGGCTTCCATCACCTCCGAGTAGATGCACGGGGCCGAGAGGTGGATGTTGCCATGCTTCCAGGCCAGGTCCTTGTAGGCGTTGTCCTTGAATTCCTCGAGGTAATAGTCGGCACGGTCAACAGCCCGGAAAGCCTGCTCCACCAGCTCGGTGCGGATGTACTGGGCCTCCTTCAGGTTGTCGATGAGCTCATCATTGTCCTCCCCAGCACTCACAGCTCCTCCCATCCTCAGGGTGAAAAGAGCAAATGTCGTGAAGGTGAGGCACACACACGCTCCAAGGAGGCTTCTGAAAGCAAGCGATATACATGGAGCATTGCTCGTCTGTACCCATCTGCCCCTTCTCTAAGGGACACCTGACCCAAGAGCTAAAGGTGACAATCAGCTAAACTAAGAAAACATGTGCTGTTTATCTGAAATTCTAATTTAATTAGTGTCCTATATTTGATCTGGCAAATCAAATACACACAATCACCCAACTAAGTCATGTGCCATTCCGCCTGGTGCTTTGTTTACGCTGATAATAAAAATGTGTATATTCAGAAACAGCCCCAGAAGTCTTCCCAAACAGAACATACTGAGACAGACACCTTGTTTCAAGACTAAATCATCAGAGCAGGAGAAAGCACAACAGGACTTTCTCCAGCCATGTCTGAAGCTGGAGGCCTTACCAGCCCGGCAAAACCAGAACACACTCCCATCCTTCCAACGGGCCCTCAGGAAGAAATGCCCCATCCCCACCCCCGCCCTTACATTCCACACAGACATTCCTTCCACAAGGACAAAAGTTAATCCACGAGCAGCTTTTCCAATGTAAAATGGTCTCCTGTTAGGGACAAACAGCCAGACCTCAGGAACCCTCACCCAGTCTCTGAATAAATGAATAAGGTTTCATGTACTGCAACACTCTGTAAAAACTTGATACTTGCTCCCCCTTGCTAGCCTCTGGATTTTCAATAGCTAAACAAAGACCATAAACAAATACTGGACACAGGATAATGCACCAGACTGCATGGACAGTGGTTCAAACCCACCAGCCACTTCTCAGAAACCCTAGACAGGGTCGCTATGAGTGGGAACTGACTCAACGGCATTTAACAACGAGACACACACACTCACACACTCACACCAAGTAATTACAGTAAGAGAGGAGACACTGTCCCAGGAGCCCCTGAGAGCAGGGGAACAACGTCTGAAGGCTGTGGCTTAATGGGATAGGACAGCAGAACTGTCCACCTTCCTAACCAAGACTCTAGCACTGAACACTGATTTCTTACCCCTGTCATAGTCCATGTCCAGTTAACGTGCTAAGAGCTGGAGAAGCCACTGAGGCCTTGTACCTAAGACAGCCATCCAAACTGTGGGTCACTGCTTGGAAGTAGAGTCATGAGTTTGGTTGTTAGGGTCTATTTGAGAACAGACCTAGAATCACCTATCCGACAAAATCGATGTTGGGGAACGTTTTAACTACCACCATTCTATCTTTACACATCAAAACAAACCAGATTGGGGCACGTTTCATTTCCTACCAAGTAGTTGCTGTTTACTTTGAATTCTTCCTCACTTTGAAAGCACCTTATATATTCAAAGACTAACTTTGCGTGCCACAAACGGGTAAGCTAAGCAAACAGCTGGCAGTTTGAACCTATTCAGAGGCACCTGAGAGTCCAGGTGTAGAGCTGTAGTATAAGCACCGGACTGCTAGCCTCTAGGTTCTCAGTGCAAACCCATCAGTTGCTTCTTGGAAACCCTACGTAAGGTCGCTATGAGTCGGAACAGAACAACGGAGGCACCTAGGAAGATAAAGTTTGGGAATCAACTTGGAAAATGCACAGTCCTCAAAAACCCAACGGAGTGCAGTACACTGGGACAGATGGGGTCACCCACGGCAGCTGGTTTACCGGCGTGTCTCATATGACATCATGAGGCAAGTTGGGGTGGAGGGGCTGCTCTGCGCTTGGTCCCACAGACAGGAGTGGGGGCTGGCCGAAGGCCTGTGTTCTTTACACCAAAAAGCATCCTTCAAAGTTCTCAAGTGAGCCAAAACAAGTTGGCAACCTGTGTTTATTCCACAACTGCAGGTTCCAAGAAGAGGGCTAATAACACCCATTGGTGGGGTGCTCATGAACACACGACCATCCTCACTGAACATCACCAACAGCACACCCAAAGATCCCCATGGCAAACCAGGAATGTTGCTCGATTTGAAACGTGAACTTCACGAGCCTTCCTATAATCCACCAGCCCGTGTGTCCTGGCCACAGCCCAGCACAGCCGCCTGGGGCCACTCCTGACAACAGGCCTGGCCTTCCCCCGGAAGCCACAAGCCCTAAAAGGGATCCCACTGGGTCTGTCCAGATGCTGGAAGGCCTTCCACAAGCAGCCCATTTCTACTAAACGCAAAGCCCCGTTTAACAACCAGCAGCGTCCAGGTCCTCGCTGATGCGCAGACTGCGAGCTCCCCCACCCACAAGCCGTTCCTCCAGACTCCCCGAATTCAGTGCCCACGGCGGCTCCAAAGCCGACTCTGAGTACAAGCTCCGGACTTGCCTGACAACGCTCCCAAACGCCTGCTAACGCGCAGCCCCGGGCAGCAGTCCGTTGGAGCGAGGGCGCGGGGACACAGGGCTCTAGGGCACAGGCGGGCGCGCAGGGAGCGTCCTGCTCCGAGGGGTCCCGGGAGGGCGAGGAGGAACCGAGGCTGTGGGTGCCTCTCACCAGGCCGCCGCAGGCCGGGCCCGAAGACCGCTGGCTCTACCTCCGGGCTCGGCCGGCCCGGATGCGGCACCTAGCTTGCAGCCTGGCACTCCCGGAGTCCTGGCTCCGCCGCCGAGGCCGCGGCCTGTTCCGCCGTAAACATCCGCCGCTACGCCTGCGCACTCTAGTGTCCCCAGTACGCCTGCGCAGCGGCCGGCGATAAAATGGGCAACAGCGCTAAAATGAGCAACAGCGCTGTCTGGTGGATGGGGTGGGTGGCCACGAACCTTCTGCCAAGGAATGAGACTGGGCTGGAAGGGGGTGTTCTCTGTGCTTGTGGGGCAACCGCGGGAGCAGGCCGTGTAACACGGGAGTGAAGTCAAGGTGACATGTGTGCTAAACTGCCTCAGTTTCCTCAGGAGCTCCTCTGAGCCTCTGAGACCCCAGGGCATGGAGATTGTCCCCAGAGGGGGATCGAGAAGAGTCTGTATGTACCTCCTGTCCACCTTCGGCCACCAAGGCCCAGAGCCAGGCGAAAGGTTCAGGGCACATTCATCTCTTCTCTGAAACTTGAAGGTTGGGAAATTGACAATCGTGACAAGCATTACAATGAAGACTTCCCTAGTACAAGTCTTTTCTTTTAACCCTTGATGTTTTTCCTGCTGTTGTGTGTCCTCGAGTCAGTTCTAACTCATAGCAACCCTGTATAGAGGTTCCCAGAGTAGCGGGTGCGTTTAAACTGACGACCTTAGGGTTAGGGCACTTAGTTGTCCAGTGCTTAGCCTTATTGTTGTTAAGTGCCTCTGAGCCGTTTCCAACTCATAGCGACCCTTACAGGGTTTCCTAGGAACCGCCGAGCTTGCTGTCCAGTACGCTACCTCACAGCACCACACCAGGACTCTCTTGCCGATCCTACAGCACCGAGTTTCCTTCTAAATGGAATTATATGTAATTGTTAAAGGTTATTTTGTGATTTAAAAATGAACAATATACCTGAATAAAAACCTCATCTAAGAAGATGTACAAAAGGCAAATAAGGATTTGAAAAGATGCTCAACATCATATATCATTACTAAGCCAAACTCACTGCCCTTACGTCTCTTCCAACTCACAGAGACAGCATACAGGGTTTCTGAGGCTGTAAAATCTTACTAGAGGAGACATCCTCATCTTCTCCCGATGAGCAGTGGTTCACAGCTCAATGCTTATCCTATAACCCCACCAGACTACTTATCGTATGCCATCAGGGAATTACAAACTAAAACACAACAATTTTCCATTACACATGTATGGTTTTTACTCACCATACAGTTGGCACACCTATTGAATGGCTACAATCCAAAACACTGACAACACCAAATGCTGATGAGGATGTGGACTAACAGGGATTCTCATCCGCTGCTGGTGGCATGTAAAATGGTACCGCCATTTTTGAAGCTGGTGTGGCAGTTTCTTCTAAAGCTAACTGCAGTCTTACCATTCAATCCAGTAATCACACTCAACTAGGTATTTGCCCAAAGAGATGAAAATCACCACTTGTCTGTCAGTTTGTCATACTGTGGTGGCTTGTGTGATAGCTGCAAGCTATAGTACCGATATTTTAAATACCAGCAGGGTCACCCATGGTGGACAGACTTCAGTGGAACTGACCCAGTAGGACAGACTCAGAAGAAGGAGAGGTAGACTGCTTCTGAATAGTTAGCCACCAAAAACCTTATGAATAGCAGCACATTGTCAGATCGTGCTAGAAGATGAGTCCCTCAGGTGGGAAGGCACACAAGACACAACTGGGAAGAGCTGCCTCCTCTAAGTAGCGTTGACCATAATGACGTGAATGGAGTAAAACTCTCAGGACCCTTATTTGCTGATAGGGCACAACTCAAAATGAAGAGAAGCAGCTACAAAAATCCATGAATAATTGGAGCATGGAATGTACAAGGTGCAAATCTAGGAAATTTGGAAGTTGTCAAAAATGAAGTGGGCCACATAAAGATCAATATCCTAGGTATTGATGAGCTGAAATGGACTGGTATTGGCCATTTTGAATTCAGCAATCACGTGGCTTATGCCAGGGACAAATTCAAGAGGAATGATATTGCATTCATCATCAAAAAGAATACTTCACGATCTATTTTGAAGTACAACACTGTCTGTGATACAAGGAAGACCATCAATTTACACCACATCAAAAAGATAGTTTTAGTATCACTTTAGTATCACCTTTTAAATATTCTTGGAGTTTCGGTAGCTAGAGTAAGGTTTTCCAATGAGATTCTCATAGGACAATCCTTGCTAACTTGTTTCAGTTACCCAGTGCTGCTGTAACAGAAATACCCTGAGTGAGTGGCTTTAACAAACCACTAGATGTCTGAATGCAAACACTGACTCTGGAGAAAGGTCTTTGTCTCCTTTCAGCTCTGTAAGCCCAGCATTCCTTGAAGATCTCCATGCTTCTTGGCCTCAATCTTCTCCTGGGTCTCGGAACTTCGTGGTGTAGGAATCCCAGGTCCAAATGTTACGCTGCACTCTTGG